AACGACAAAATGCTAATCGCTAAACAAGAGCAAATTATTTTTATAAACGTTTCGAATGTTAAATTAATCTCTTTAAGTACACATATTAAAAGTTAAGAAAACATATTAAAGATTAAGCTAAACATTCAAACATTTAAAGTAAAAAATAAGAAAAAAATTTTGTAAAATAAGAAAAGAAACTTTATAAAAGTTAATTTTTACAAAAGAAGATTTAGATAAAAGTTCGGAAATGAATCTTTTGCGAATTATTTTTTATTATTTTAAGGATTTATAAGGAAATAGAAAGATTTTAGTAGTTAAAACATAAAAAGCTAATTTTTTAATAGAATTATTTACAAAAAAGAACAAGAGCGAATCTTTATTCGCGAGTCTTTATTCGTTTGTTTAATATTTGACAAAAAGATCACTATCGTATACGAAGCCATTGAAAATAGAGAGGTTTCAAATCGTACTTCCGGAGGATTATCGTATTCACGATCACTATCGAATCGAAGAGAGTGAGAATCTCTCGACTTTCGATGATTGCGAGCGCATCGACGCCATATGTTACCATGTAAAAGCCGTTGCTCTATTCTCGCAAAAATCGACTAATAAAAAGGTAACTCGTCGACCTTCGATATAGTCTACGCTTCGCGGCGACTGGCTCCCCATCTCTCTTCCTCCGCCGCCAAGACTCTCTCCCTCTCCGTCCCGGCTATTTTCTTCTCTCTCTTTCTCTCATTGCGCTCCGTCCGCCTATGTGTGCGCGTGTACGTACACCGCTCTGCCAACTTTCACGTATCATAATATACAGTGAAAGAATGTGGTTTCCCTTTCAAATTACAAAATATGCCACGAGCGTGCAGTCCAATACACTTCCTTTTCTTTAATTTCATTTTTGTACATTATCTCGATGAGTTTTTACATTCCTTTTCCGATGATTTACTCGAGAGATCAATTCTCGTCTCCGACTATAGTAATAGATAGATAGATGTTAGAAGCAGATTTAGATAGAAAAAGATTTACAATAACCATATTCAGGTACGTGATAAGAAAACGCGTCGCAAGACATCGATCGCGTTTACGTGCGTCATCGATTTAACGTCTTTGTTATTTTCACATTTTCCGCTTGAAACGCATGCTGCACTTTTTTCCGAATCTCATTTTTGCGCCTTCGCTCGAGCGCGATTGAAATGTCCGTACATCCCGTTGACAAGCGGAACATAAGGCACAATCTAAAGGTTTAGACTGGAAAGGACAGCGCCTGAGACCGAAACCTTGATTGAGATATTACATTGCCACGGCGCGCACAATCGGTGCGCAGTTTTATTATTAAAGAAGGACTTGACCCAGATTTTATCGGTGAGAAAAAAAAAAGGACAGCCGGACGATCCATCCCGATTGCGAATGTCTACCTGACGTCTTCGTCGAGCGGCGCGCTATTGCCGCCGGCGACGATTTGTATCATCTTTCATGTTATTAATTTAGACAAGGAATGGATTTATGTGGGTTGCGACAAACTGGGTCAGGGACACGGGTTTGCGTAATGTACGCTAGACAGGCCATCCGGATATTTCTCTTGTCCGGCGATGAAAGATATATATGCATATTTTATTTATTTCAGATAAGCGGCACTCCTAACAAGAACAAATTAATAGTTCACACCGGTAGCTTACTTGTCTTGCGGATACGAGCAATTACGTTCCGAGTAGTAGAATTTGTTTATGTATAAATAATGAATATATAAAGCGCGCATCAACGTGCAAATCAAACGGACGATTTTTACTGCGACTATTACTTTTTCTTTGCATTATACTTTTTTGTAATCTTTCGGGTGGCAGATAAAGGGAGAAAGGGAATAAAGTACATATTTATT